GCTCAGACACTCCGGCGCTGGCCGCTCTCGGTCGGCGACAGAGCAAGTTCTGGGCGCTCATCTGTCGGTCGGTCCAGAGAGTTTTCGGGTCCGCGGCCCCGGGATGGGGCTGGCCTCGCTGTCACCACTGGGACTCTTCCTCTCCGCTCTCTGGAGTGGAGGTGAGTGTGCGGGTCGCGAGGAGGGGGCAGGAGGGGGCTGCAGGCTCGCGATCTGGAGCTCGGGGAGGGAGCGCGCCAGCGCCGACCCTGGCGTGCCTGGTGGCTGGGCAAGTTTGCAAACATTCTCCCTCCTCCCGGCGGCGCGGGGATGGGGCACGGGGCAGCCCACCCATCCGCTGGCCGTGGCTCCTCCAAGGGGCCGACAAGGCACCCAGGCTCTGTCGTGGCTGCGTGTCCTGGTGGAGCCAGCCGTAGGTGGACACTGAGGGCGCTCCTTTACCACGGAGAAGGAAAACGAGCTCGGCCGGGCGCGCTGCAAACCCTGACGTTTTAAGTTTTTGGCCAGAAGGAATGTGGATCATAGGTCTAGTCTGTAATACGCCGAGAAGTTCCCTCTACACCGCGCTGCGTGGTTGTGCCCAGCTCTGGCAGCCTCAGACTCGGTCTCCCGAGGGACAGACGCCCGGCGAGCGAGCTAGCCAGCAGGCTGCAGGAACTGGAGTCGCAGTTCGGGTTTCGTGGCCGACCCAGGCCGGCCGGCCATCCAGGCTGATGCCACTGGGCCCTTGGCGCTCCTTGCAGAGGCACCCGGGAAAGGGGAGCATTCTTCCCACCCCTGTTACAGCAGAACAGAACTTCCTGTGCTTGGGCAGTTAACTTGGGTTTCTTATCTGGATTCAGCCAGTGTGGACACAGGCATTTCAGTGTAAGAGACTGGACCTGGTAAGTAGAGGCAAGTGAGGCTGTTCCTTCTGCTTCCGCAGGGGCTGGAGGGAGGGTCAGTGATAGCAGATGGCCAGTTTGATCAAAGACACACTCTTGTGGAAGCTGAGAAATGTACTGGGCTTTATCCAAATAAAAAAATCAGGAAAAGAAAAGAGAGTGCTAAATAAATACATCCAGGTATTTACCCTTAGTGAGACGATTTCTATTTTCATTCCGCAAGTGGTTTTTGTCTCTTTTGACCATGAATGTGCTTGACTCATTTTCACACGCTACATGGTCAGCCTTTTTTCTTCTTTTTCTGCTACAGGACATGTGAGCTGGCCTGAGAGAGACAGACAGAGAGAGGGAGAGGGAGAGGGAGAGAAAGTGAGAAACCATCCCTCCTCTAGGGACACATCCATCTGAAGTTCTGGCCACGCTCACACACACCTGGAGTAGTTTTTGTTTGTTTATGTTTTAGGTTTTTGACACAGAGCACCTACATTCACAGAAGAAAGACAGAGAGAGGGAAAGTGAGAAATCATCCCGCAGGGAGGATGGTCACACTGCAATCCCTTCTCCTTTATTCTCTTTTCGGGATTTTGGGCATGCATGCACACAGGTTTTTTAAGTCCCACATCTAGGACTCGAACTGTATAGTCCACCATGTAGTTTCCAGCCACTTTAACCACCATGCTAGCTGGCTGCCCTAGTCAGGAAAGATTTTTTTTAAGAATGCTTGGAAAGGGACCAGCAGATGGAATAATGGTTATATCGCTGAATTCCTACATGGCTAAACACAGTTCGAGTCCCTCACACAGAGATTTGAAACCCATGCCAGAAGCATGTGCATTCAGGCATAGAATTCCTGGAGAAGACTGGATTGCAGCATGGCCATGCCCCCTGGGGGGTGATTTCTCTGTCTCTCTGTCTCTTCAGCAAGCCCACACACCCTATAGCTAAACTCCCCCCTCCCCCCCAAAAAAAGAAGGCTTGGAAAGTTCAACTTATAGTCAATGAACTTGGTTTTTTTCCTTGTAGATTTTTCATTTGAAAGCTTAATTGCTCAAATGAAAAATTCTTCAACAGAGCACATTACACATTAAGTTATATAAGCAATTTATAATTTTGGGCAACAGCAATTTGAAACAATCAAGAGCCAAACCAAGCAAAGAACTGAAGCAGTTCTGTTCTCTGCAGTCCCCCAGCCCTCAAAAATTCCTCAGCATTTCTGCCAGACTCATTTATCATAATCTGCTGCAAAGCTGTTATGTTTTGCTACTAGTAAAGGCTAGCTGTAAATAGTCTTGGAGATAGTAAACATGATAAAAAGAAAAAAGAGATAAAGAGAGAGAAAGAAAAGTAATGGGAACAAGAGTTTCTGTGTAAAATATTTTCAAAATAGATATTTTTATTTTTTATAATTTTTTCTTACAATTTTTTAGAAGTTGTAATAAAGAGCTTTTGTAGCTGCCAAGTCAGCTTGAGTCAGAGAATCATAAAAGGTCTTCTAAAATCCACCCAGCAGGAGAATGAAAAGTTTCTCCAGTTTTTCTTTGACCTTTTGCTTTTCATCTTGAAATTTACCTGCGAAATGACCAACAGCATTCCACCTCACCTTGTGAAAAACCTAAAGTGAGGTTCTCCCTGGCAACAGTAGAACAGAGGTAAGAGGGCTATAGGAAGAGATTAAAAATGGCCACGAGGAGCCGGCAGGTGGCGTGGTGGTTAAGGGCACTGAACGCCCACATGGCCAACTGTGGTTTGAGTCCCGGACCTGGAGGCTTGCTTTCTCACTTTCTCTCCTCTCTCTCTTCCTCTCTGTTCCTCTCTGGTCAAATTTAAATAAATAAATAAAGTTAAATAAAATAATTATTTTTTAAAAAATGCCATGAGACTTTTGACCTAGTTTGAAGAGTTTCCTATTGCATTCAGTGAGCCTGAGTGGTGTTTTAACCAGAAAGGACAGAGAGGCAATATGTGGCTGTATATAGACTCCACAATGTAGAGGAATGGACCCAAAAATATAAGCATAATTTTTTTTTTTTAATTTGACAGAGAGACAGAGAGAGAGAAAGTGAGAAGGCAAACCACCAGGTTTGAGACTCGAACCACAGTCAGCCCTGTGGAAGTCCATCGCCCTTAACTATCACACCACGTGCTGACCCCTAAGCATCATTTTTAACCCAAGAATCATCCTCTGCCCCAAACACAAGCACAAACACCATCTCACAAAGACTTGCACACACAGAACTAGAACTTCATGTCAGGGATTTCCAGTCCTTTCCTCCTGCTCATTCTCTGATGGGGGTGCTAGTGAGCAGCAAAATGAATGTAAGATGACTCTCCAGAGGGCCAGGGAGATGGTGAAGGAGCAGACATCTGAAAAGTAGATAAAAATGAAGGCGTTATGAGGAGTTGGCCCATGATGAAGTTGGGTGTGCAGGTAAGAGCTGGCTTTTAAAATGTTTTAATGTTGGACCAGTACGGGGAGTGGTGGTTGAGGTGGCTTAATCCCACATGTTCAACTGTGTGGTTCAAATCCCAGACCCCATGGCCTGAAAAACACATTGAGTGCATGTGCGTGTGTGCACAAAATCCTGAGAGGAAGGACCAGCAGTTGGCGTAATAACTATGTCTCTGGACTCCCAGGTAGTCCACTGAGGTTCAAGTCCTGGACCCGGTGGCTTAAACTCACACCAGGCACATGTGTGTGTGTGCCGAAGATCCCAAGAGGAGAATGGAGCTGAAGGGATTGCAGTGTGGCCATCCCCCCTGGGAGGTGATTTCTCGCTTTCTGTCTCTCTGTCTCTCTCTGTCTTTCTGGTGAGCGCATGTGCCCTATAGCAAAAAAAAAAAAAAAAAAAAAAAAAAACTGAATGGGGAATGGAGGGGGGAATATCTTCCTTGAGGTATTAAAAAAAAAAGGTGGCCCACCCCCTCCTCCTCCGTGGGGGGGGGGGGGTTCTCCCTTTGTCACTTTCTCTCTCTCTCTTTCTCTCTCTCTCTCTCTCTGGCAAGCACACACACCCTATAGCAAAGAACTAAAAGAAAAAAAAAATTCTTCCATGTTAATGCTTGTTCCCAATTTTATAACATATATTTCATTTTGTAGTCATTTTCCCAGGGAGAACTTTAAGTTGTTCTGTTGCTTATGGACTTTATTATAATGACCTCAAATGCTTTTTGGAAGTAAGCAGGGTACATTTTAGTGAATAAGGAGATGATTTTAAAAAGTTATTCTGGGGGCTAGCAGAGGGCATGGTGCCGCCTTTGCAGTCTCTATTCCCTCCTGCTGGAATTTTCCCCCCAAATCTCCACATGCTAGTAGTCCCTTTGCATTTCAACTCAGATGTTACCCTGAAAGGCCTGTCTTCACCAACATGCCTGGCCAAAGCTACCCAGACAGCCTTGGACTCCCACATGACCAACCGTGGTTTGAGTCTGGGACCCGGTGGCTTGCTTTCTCACTTTCTCTCTCTTTCTCTTTCTCTGTCTCTTTCTGTCTCCTCTCATGAGCCCATGTGCCATATAGCAAATTAAATAATAATAGTAAATAAGATTAAATAAATAATTCCTTTTAAAAAGAGGTTATTCTGACCCATTCCCCCATTTTCTTACTGTCAGAGGACATCTGCTTTCACTAGAAAGAAAGAGAAAGAGAAAGAAAGCAGCTCCTAAGGAACCATGACCATGCCCCAGTCTTTTTTCCTCCACTTCTTTTTTTTTTTTTGGAGAGGTTTTCGCTATAAGGCGCGTGCGCTCGCCAGACAGACAGAGAGAGACATAGAGACAGAAAGCGAGAAATCATCCCCCACAGGGGATGGTCACGCCCCAATTCCTTCTCCTCCATTCTCCTCTCGGGATCTTGGGCACACACGCACGCACACGTGCCCGGCATGAGTTTTAAGCCACCGGGTCCGGGATGCAAACCACGGTCTACTACGTGGGAGTCCAGCAACATAGCCATTACGCTAACTGCTGGTTCCCTCCTCCTCTTCTTCATCCTGTCAGGATTTGGGGCGTGCATGCCCACGTGACCAGTGTGCTTTTCAAGCTGCCAGGCTGGGATTTAAACCATGGCGGATCATGTGGGATCTCACTCCCTATCACAGCAGTTAACTGCTGCGCTATGGGGCCTGCCCAATGAACATGTCTTCTGTTTGTTTTGTTTTTGTTTTTAAGACCGATTTTTGCTCTAGGGCATGTGTGCTTGCCAGAGAGACAGAAAAGAAGAAATCACACACACCCCCCTCCGAGGGGATGGCCACACCGCCATCCCTCTTCCATTCTTC